GAATGTGGGTCATTTGATCCGCTACCAGATGACTCAAGTGAGAACTAGTAAGAGAATTGATCGAATTCCCTTTGCAAACACGTTAACACAATATTTGAGGCATAAAGAGGTGGATGAGGAGAAAGCTTTCGATCACATCATTGATCAGCCCCTAGGACTAATGGACATTATAAGTGTCCGGGTTAAGAAGGAGACTGCTATGCCATCAATGACAGGTGCCGAGAGCAATGCTCGCGATGACAGCTTTATGGCCCATCTTTATGGGATGATGGACTTGCAGCTTCGGATTGGGGGACGTTGTGCCACTACAGAGGAGAGAGCCATATTGGAGGAGTGTTTTCCGCTCAATGCTCATGCTCAGCAACTGGTTGGGCTTGGTGATGGCTACAGACTCCCAGAGGATGGGGATGTCAACACACCTGAGCAGTCCGAGGTCGAGCCGGAGCAGTCGGATGATGATGATGATAATGAGGAGGAGGAGGAGGAGGAGAAGGAGGAAGCAGAAGATGAGGAATGGGCAACCTTCGAGGATGAAGGCGATGATGAGGCTTGATCAGGGAGTTTTCATACACCCTACTTGTTATTTTTCTTGTTTTGTCTGTTTGATTATACACTGAGGACATTGCATGAAATAAGGGTGGGGTGGTAACTTGTAAATATTAGTCTTGTTTTAGTTATTTTTTTTTATATAATGTACTATTTTTTTTAGTTAGTGTCGTCTTAGCCTTTTAGAAAAAAAAATGATAAAAATATGTAGTGTCGTCTTGCTAAGTAGAAAAATTAGACTCTTCCTGATGATGGATATCTTAGACAGTTTTCTTGAGGGAATTAAGTCTAAAGGAAAAAAAAAGATTTTCTTTGTAGGTAGTGTAGTAATTTCCCCTTATTTTTTCTTTGTACCGCAGTTCTTTTTCAAGGGTTTTAGTTGAACCGGGTGAAGTTAGTTTTAATTTTTAGGAGTAAAAACCACTGGGCTATGAATTGAATTGCAGAGATATCTCTTAACTTTGTTATGCCTTGAGAATAGTGAGTACTCTGGTTGTGACGCTTAGGCTCAATGTTTGACTCTAGTATAAATACCTTAAATTGTAGATTCTTAAATTTAATTAACTGTTTTGACTAGAGTGTCATGATAAAATCAATCATGAGTGAGTTATGTGCCATGTCTGTGTGAGGTTTGCATGTATTCTGTGCATTGCAGTTGATGTCTAGAACTTGGCCCGTGTATGTGCGAAGCGAAATAGTAGTCTTGTTCAGTCTGGGAAGTGATAGAGGCGTTTCTTTGTTGAGCCAAATGTATATAGTTTACCCGCCTAAATATCATATAACGTAGTTAACCCCTTTGAGCATGTAATCATGTTTCTTTGGTAATCACATTACAAGTAAGACTGTTTATTTGAATTGACCATATATTTAAACCTTGTCACCTCTCATGAGCACTTGAATTGTGATAAATTATGTAAAAGTTGAAGTGTGGGGTGGTGGTTTGGCTTTTGAGTGGAACAAATGAAATAAGGAGAAAGGTGCACCGTTTTGAAAAGAAAAAAAAATATCAATAAAAGCCACTTGGATTGAAATAAAAAGAAAAAATATACATATAGTTGTATTGTATAAAAAAATAATTCTTGATTATGGTGGCTAGTGATGTAATTGTGCTTAAAGAAGTATGGGGTAATATACATTGATGTGAAGGTGGAGTTTTGGTTTGACATAAGTATAGGCTTGAGTGTTGAAGTATATGCATTAAAGTGCTTAAAGGAGGTGTAGTCTCTCATATCTAAATATATCCTACCTGACCCGCAACCTACATTACAATCAAATAAAGTCTTACTTGATCCTAGATTGAATAAACTCGATTAGTAAAGTATTACACTACGGGCAAGCCTATGGTGCATCATTTGTGGCATATGAATGTTATTTCTGATATAGAGTGAATTCTTCCTATCTTGAGTTCCTACGGTCTTAAAATTTATTGTGTGTGGAACTAATCTCTTTTGTTGTATGAGGGCACGTGATTCATGATGGAGAGGTAATGTCGTTGACCTCCATGTTAGAGTAAGTAAGTGAATTATGAATAATGCATGGTATTTGTGAGTCAAATCTTGAGGTGAGGATGTTACACCTTTGTGCTTAGTATATTTTAAAGATTCTTGGTGTGACGAGTTAAGGGAATTGCTTAAAAAGGTCGTGCCTATAAGTGTAGTTTGATTGCTCGAGGACGAGCAATGTTTAAGTGTGAGGTATTGATGTGTGGCTATAATTTCATATTTTGGTACATTATTTACCTTACATTTTATGTGCTTTGATGTTAAACTACACTTTATTTGCGCGTAATGGAGTCTATTTTATGTGTAGGTACATTGGAGATGAAAGTAAAGCAAAAGGAATATTTAAAGTCTAAAGCGTGCTCGAAAATAATTGAAAAGAACAAAGAAAGAAGTGAGCCGCGGAAAAATGAGAAAGCTGACGAAGCGAGCTATTGAGCTCGCGTTAGAGCTGGCGAGGCGAGCCTTTGAGCTCGCGTGGGAGTAGGCGACGCGAGGAATAAGGCGAGGTTGATCTCGCATGGAGGCAGGCGTCGCATGGTCTGGGGCGAGGTTCATCTCGCGTTTTACCTCGCGAGGCACGGTCTGAGGCGAGCCTGATCCGGATTTTTAAGGCTTATTTTGTTTCCTTGTTTGACTAGGACTTGGGCTATGTCATTTAGGTCTTTTCCTATACATATAAATAGACATTAAACACCATTTTTGAAGGAGTTTTGCGATCGGAGACAAGGATAGCTCGTTGAACACCCGTTGGGGGAAAGAATCATCGATTTCTACATTCCTTCATATTTACTTTGTAATTTATTTATGCAAATACTTGAGATATTGTTACTGTGAGTATGAGTAGCTAAACTTCTAATCTAGGGTTTTGATGGAACCTATTGGAGGATGATTTTCCTGTTACGTTAATATAGATTTGCAGTAGTTTTTCTCTATTTGTTCAACTATATTTATATTATGGTTGGTTGAAGAGCTCTCAATCGACTGTGCCTATTTAGTGTGTATTACTCGGAAGAGAGTGCATATTTAGGTAGTTGTTGAACAACATCACTCCTAACGTATATGAGGGATCAATACGGTGGGTTTAAAGGTGGGATTAGGAATAACGAAACCTTGGTGCGATCCGAGTGAGCCGTAACTTAGTGCTAGCTAGCGTAATTCAGAAGAATATGTCTAATAAATTATGGTAGTTATTCGGGAGAGAATTACGACGCTCAGACAGCTCATGATCGGTAAACTTAGGCAAATTTATAGGAAACGTAGCAGAAAAGGATTCTGATAATAGGGGAAATCAAAACCTTAGACCATTCCAATTCTTGTCTACAACTTGTTCATAGTTAGTTATTAATTACTGCATTTTCATTACGTGACATTTAGTTAGTAAACATCCAAATTGTTATTTAAATGTTTCTGAATATTGATTGCGTGAATTTGTGCGAGACTAGTAGTTGTGCTTAATAGGTTAATTCTCTGTGGGATTCGACTCCGGACTTGTTAACTAGAATATATTTGCAACGACCGCTTAGTCATTTTTATAAGGCATAGTTGAGCGTGATCAAATGTAAACTAGAATTTAATGCAACTCAAAAAAAATATTAGATACACAGATATATTAATTCTAATATAGAATGTACTATGATATACAATGTTATAAATAAATGAGTGCGTAATAGGTTCATCTCTAGTGGAAGTAATGAAAATTTCGAGAGATTAGAATTGAAATTCTAATATAATAATTTTTTTTTATAGATATTTTCTTACATGCGACATGGTAGGTAGAGTTATCCAATACCTATACTAATAAGAGGTAGAAGATATTCGGCCAAATAGCTGAGGTGTATGCAAAGTGACTCAAATATCACTATATTAAATTTCAATATAAGTGCTAGATGATTCCTTTTTATCTGCCTAATGCATATATTGGTGAGAAATCGCCAATCATCAAATCAAATAGTTGGAGGATTGGAGCGCATGCAAAATGATCCGAACACTCCAATTACTAGGGGTGTTCATAAAAACCCGAAAAATCGAACCAAACCGAAAACCGAACCAAACCGACCAAAAAAATTGATACTTTTTAGGTTTGGTTTGGTTTTGGTTTTGAATTTTAAAAATCGATCAAATTTGGTTTGGGTTTGATTTTAAGAAAAAAAATAGATGAAAAAACCCGAACCAAACCGACCAAAAAAATTGATACTTTTTAGGTTTGGTTTGGTTTTGGTTTTGAATTTTAAAAATCGATCAAATTTGGTTTGGGTTTGATTTTAATAAAAAAAATAAATGAAAAAACCCGAACCAAACCGACTATAGAAGTAGCTATTTAGATTTTTATATAAAATTTCTAAAATTTTATGGTACGTATTAGTCGTTTGTATTTTTAGTCTAGTTCTTTAATTTTCTATTATAATAATATAATTCTTTGCCTTTACATTCCAGTTCGATTGGTAGTTTTTATTTGCTAAGTACAAGAATTTATTTCATGTTAAAAATAATCAATTTTTAATTGAGTACTTAAATTATTCATCACCATTTGATTCAATTATCATCAATATATCTTGATAAATGATAGATTTCTCAAAGAGCAATTGGTTTGATAATGTTACGTTGAAAATATAGTCGCCGAAATATGTGTTTGGTAGTGTATATCTCATATTTAAGAAAAGAACCGATAAATAACCGAAAAAATCAAAAAATCAAAAAAAGCCGAATCGATAAAAAATTAACTTAATTGGTTTGATTTCTTTTTAGAAAAAAATCGATCCAAACCGAACCATAAACACCCTACCAATTATTATAAAAAAAAATGTTATCAATCAAATGATGGTAAGAGTATTATTCCCAAAATGGAAAAGAAGGAACATGAAAAAGAGAATAGTACTATAGAAGGATAGTGTGTTATATAAAAAAATAAACTATAGAAGGACATTATGTTATGCAATTTATAAATTTAGCGAGGCAAAAAACGGCCCAAATTGACCCGATTTGAATATCCAGCCCACTACTCTGCGAGGACGAATAGAAGAGGAAAATAAGAAAAACGAACGAGAAGACGATCCAGGGAGCATTTTCAATGATCAAATACGCTCAAACATACGTATTTATGTGTTTATACGCACGTATTTTGCAGTTATAGAAGATAGGAACCTTATAGGAGAGTTTAATTTTTTTCCATGGCTTCTCAATTTCTAGGGCAAATGTGTCCTGCTTTGAATTGAAGTACCTAACCCTAGAAATTGGAGAAAGTTTTCGGGGCGATCCATTGCTAGCCCCATCTGCAATTCGGGTATAACTATTTGCAATTCAGGTATTGATTTTGGTTCACAAGCATTACAAACCCTAGAATTTGGACTCTGTTCATTTTCGTGCAAACCCTAGAATTTTTCGAATTGGTATTTTTAGGGTTTATTTGTTAATTGGGGAATGTAAAGTTCTGAATTTTCAATCTGTAGTTTTGCATTTTGCTTCAATTGTTCGTAAGTTTTGCATGTTCAGTGGTAATAAGAGCTTAATTTAATGCGAGGAGTTATTGTGTGAGCATGATAAAAAGTGAGATATCTCGTAGCTAAGACTCGTCTTTCTCGCGGGATTTTATCCAGAATGTTGAAGCTGCTGATCACAAAATGAATGTGCTTGCAGAAAATGAATGAGATATGAACACTAGTGCGCGGAAAATGCTCCCTTTTTGTGTCTTAAAATTGCGATCTGCTTTACTGTCCAATCATGCAGCATAATGAGCTTTTCTCCAACAGCTGCATTCGAGAGATTGAGATATAGTAACTGTTTGTTAGATTGAACGGTTAACAGATATCTATGAACTACAGCTATGAGCAATCAAATCCATGTAAATGCACCTGCACCCGAATGCAGAGTTTCTCTTTTATCATGTTAACAGGAAATGCTAAAAAAGGAAACCTGTTCGAGAATGTGCACATTTAGTAACTTATTTTTTGTTCTGTTTACATTTAGTAACTTATATTTTGTTCTGTTTTATTTCTCCTTAAGTTTTATCTGTTCTTTCTTCTTCCTCGTAGCACATGCCTAGTTGTCCGACATAAAACTGCTTTGCTCTGTGCAGTATTAACTCCAAAGATTTGTTCCTGTGGATATTGTCTCTTGCTTGCATGTGGTCATGTGCTGCTTCCCCCTCCCCTCTCCCAACACCACTAAAGAGAAACATTTCACCGTATTATGTCCAAAGGAGTTGATTTTGTTAGTATGTCTTTTGCCTGAGCAAGTATTATGTAATAGGTTAGCCATAGATCTGCTATAATTATAATTCCTTCTGAAACATATTGTTAATTTTTTTCTCTCCTTGGTAAAGGTGTTTCTGAGATAGTAGCCATATGTGGATTACTCATAAGAATTCAACCTTTCGTCCAATCTATATACTTTAGTTAAGAACATGCTCTTTTTTNAACAAAAAAAAATAAATTTCTGGATCATGCTTCGTATTCTCAACAGCAAGACTAATAAAAATATCACAAATCGCCCCCCAGGGCCTAGCTCAAGTGGCAAAGGGTGGTGGATTTGTGTCTTAGGTCACAGGTTCAAGCCCCCACACCATGCAAAGCAAAGCCTGGTATTTAAGTGGAGAAGGGTAGAGGGGCGGGCCCATTATCCACCGAGTTTCGAAGGCTGCGGTTGGTCCAAAGGATCGGCCCCAGACGGATTTCTCGGTCATCAAAAAAAAACATGCTCTCTTTTTTTTGGCTTAAACAAGCACTTCGGCCGATGTGTTGAGTTATGCTGGGAATAAAAACTGGGTGTTACATATGATGTATAGGGACTTATTGCTTATACCATGCTGCATCCGAGAGCAATAGTTTAGCACGTAAATTCTATGATCCCCTGTGTTTGAACAGTTCTTTCGAACTTCTATTAACAAATTAAGGTAATTTATCAGAAGTCATGATGTCATTGATTTTCTTGGTATGTTCAAAGGGTTTCTCAATTTCATGAGCGTGAAAATTGCTGGCTATACAACTTTTTAATAAAGCTAGGTGAGATGGGAAGGGAAAAGCAGCACTGCAATTGTATGTCCAAGGAAATGCATTAGGCCATGCTTATGTGTTTGTCAAATTAAACACTCTTAACTGTAAACTTTAATGCCATCGTGTTCATGGAGGTACAGAAAGTGATAAGTTGGAAATTTTCATGTATGCTACAGCCAAACATATTCTTAAAGCAAGTCATTCCCCTTATCATATCCAAAGAAGACGTACAATTTTGCTAATAGGTAATGATACAAATCAAAAACATTTGTTGCTAATATATAATGATACCATTGTTACTTCCATTGGTGTTATTTTAATTTTTCAACGGCATCTTACTATTCTCTTGCTTGTAGGTATTTGATTAAGGATTATGTTATGGAGGGCAACACCCTGTAGCTTTTAAGGAGGTAATGCGTGGATGTAGTATTGGATCTGATCTCGTAGTCAATGCCGGGGTTGATTCCATGGGAGGATTTGTTGAAGGCGGAGTTGGTATTGGTACCAAAAGTTCTCCGCGCACAGCAGCAATTGAGAAGGTCCATGCAAAGCTAAGGTAATGCTAGCATACTCTGTTTTTTTCACCTGCCTATGTCGAGTTTTATGATTAGAAAGTACTCTGTCCAAACTTATGGTGAGATTCTTTCTTGTTAACAGGCAGGAGTGTGATGGCCTACAGGAAAGGAGGAGGCAGTTAGAATTTCTGGAGGAAGTATGGAAGGCTGTCTAATTCTTGTTAGATGTTCAGATATTCTTTCTTGTAGCTTTGACATGACTGGATACTTCTTGCAGGGTGGCGATCCCCTGGAATTCAAATTGGGGGATGCTGTTTCACCTAGTGTTCAATCCACCTCACTGCCAGATAAACATCCGGATCATTTCGTGACCAGGTAATCTCTCAGGTGTTGTGTTACTGTTTCTTAATCCTGTATTGGTTACAGTAGTCTAATTTTCCCTTTGGCATTGCAGTGAAGTAAAAGGTAGTCGTGCAATTACCGCTTCACCTCATGGAGACTCGGCTGAAAGTAGCGGTCGACCTGGGGCTCCTCAGCTTTGTGAACCCAACAGTGCTGACAATCTCATGCTGTTTGACGGGGAAAATAAATTTGTTGGTAGTGATAGGGGCTGTAGACATCCCAGTAGGAGCAATGTTACTCCATCAGGGCAGTCCTCTAAGTTTAATGAAATTCAAAATGCAAAAGAATTGGGTAACGCTACTGCTTTTGACATCCCCAGAAAAGCATACAAGCGAAGATACAGGCCCCGACCGAATCGCGACAGTGCTAGATCAAGTTCATCTGATATAGCTCGTGGTGGTCACGGCACGTCTTTGCCTTCACAACATTTTCCCAAAGAGTTAAAAGGACCGGTTTCTGATTCAGATAAAGACCAGAACTCTTCTTTGAACATTTCACGGCTGCCTAGTCCAAATGGTGGTATATCTCTCAAGTCTATGCCTTCTGATAATCAGGTGCACTTGGAAGTAGATGGTGTTAAACCAGAGTCAAATACTGGCTTTAAGAAAGACGATATGTTGGATACTGTTCCTGATGCCAGTGCTTCCAGAGGTTTGCCTGATGGACAACATGATCAGAACTCACTCACTGGTGTCCAGGAAATGCCTATCCAAGAAGCTCCTGAAAGGCCTCAATTGTCATTGGGAAAGGAAAGGGTAGATTCTGCTGGTCTTGATTGTCAGCCACATACATCTGAAAGGGAGGTTGATAATCAAGCTAGCTCCGTCCAAATGAATGGGTTCTGTAGTGGAAATGATAATAAGCCAAGCTTCCCAAATGAAGCTGAAAATAGTGGTGTAATATTGGGAACAAAGGGTTTAGATTCAGAATCTTCTTGCACCCAGACTAGCCTCAGTCTAGATGGACATAATGATTGTGAAATGTGTACCAATTTGAGTATTTTGGATTCCAACGGCGACTTAAACAAACAACTGGTAGTGCCAGAAGGGACGCCAGTTATCGGAAGTGATGTTAATGTAAAGAACGAGATGAAGGCTGATGTCAATACTTGTTTAAATAATGAGGATTTTAATCCTGGTCAACGCGATCACCAAAGTAATGGTTGTTTACCTAAATCACCAGAAGAACGTGTCAGTATTGTATCTAATTTGCAAAGTGAGGTAAAAGATAAACATATCCTGGAAAGAATGGAAGAAGTTGGCCCATCTGAATCGGAAACCGTAAGAAAATATAGTGTGCTTAAAAGGGACGATTCCAACTCCCAAAATATTTGTAATGTCGGTATTCAAGGTACGATTGGTTCCTGTATACCAAAGCATTCTGAGTGTGTATCACAGCCTAGAGTTTCAAATCTTGCTCCCGAGGGACAAGCACCTAGGATCCAGGTTGATGAAGACTCGATCTTGAAAGAGGCACATGTTATAGAGGTTGTTCTCTTTGACCTTTAAAATAATTCACATCCTCATCTACTCAAGCTTGCAGAGATCTTGCTATTACTTTTTTATCTGACGTTGTAGATCTAATGTAATGTAACAAACAGGCGAAGCGTAAAAGAATTGCAGAATTATCTGCTGTAGCCTGTCAACCTGAGAATTGTCGAAAATCTCAATGGGATTATGTACTTGAAGAAATGGCTTGGTTGGCAAATGATTTTGCTCAGGTGTGAGCTTAGTAGATCTTCGCCTCTAATGTTTCTTTCCCCTTTCTTCTTTTCTAGCTATGTGTCAAAATGCACAGTCCTGGATTGTTGGAACAGGATTTAGTTTTCTTTTGATTCTGGAATAGTATTTTCATTATTTCTTTCCAGGTTTAGGCACTTACCTGATTTAGAATATTTTTTCATGTAGGAACGTCTTTGGAAGATAACTGCTGCAGGTCAAATATGTCACCAAATTGCTTTTAGCTCACGGTTGAGATTCCAAGAACAAAATCGTAGTTGGGAGCAAAAAAGAGTAGCTCACAACCTGGCCAAAGATGTCATGGATTTCTGGCATTCTATCGAGGTATATAGGGTAATTTAGCACAATCTTAGCTTATTCTGTTTTCTTCCCAACGTCTATGTGTTTTTCAGGAAGAACATGCACTAAGGAGGCGAAAAGGGCTCATCACTGGTCTTTGTTATCTCGTTGCTAATTGTTTTATGCCCATCGGGTTAATATCCCTATTTGTTTATATGGACAGTTGTAGCTTCCTTCATTTCTGAGTGCATATTTTGCTGAGTAGTTGATATGATATGCTCCTTTCTAATCTCTCTGATGTAGGCATATGTAGGCATTTAGCATTCTCTGGTTTTGAGTTGATGCTTAAACACATGATTAGGAAAAAAAGATAGGGAGGACCAATAGGTTAAATTGTGTTTGTGGGATCTTTTGTTGCCTAATTATGTATGCTTTTCACATAATCCTTAAAAATAAAAGTCTGATTATAGCATTCACAGGATTTTCCTTGCCCTTTTAAATGCTTAGATCTGGTTTTGGTATGCTATTTAGTAGGATTTGACCGAGGATCCTAAATCTTGTGATTTACTTACCATGTAAATCTTTCCATTCATTTAATAGGGTGGACTAACTTTGAGTTGGTAGATTAAAAGTTCTTTGGATAGAAGAGCAGGTGTGATCTGATTTCTAGGCAAATGAAATTTATATTAGTTGGGATAGGCTTTTGGTTTGTTTCCTCACACTGTTAGCTGTCCATCTTGTCGAAATTAAATGAAACACAATTAGAGCAAATGTAAGCTACGAATTGAACTAAGTAGAACTTCTAGAAGTTCCTTTTGTAGTTTTTATCCAAAGGAAGAGAGGAAAGGGGGATATCATTTGATCCTTGTTATGCTTATTTCATATCTTATGGCAGGGGAAAAGCAAAAAAATGGAGTTCCCAAGGACTAAAAAAGATTACCCTATTGCTATTGGGAAGTATGCTATGGGATTTCTGAAGTACAATGACTCAGATGTTCCAAAAAGTCAAGCTGCGGCGCCATTGACTCCAGATAGGATATTTGACGGGGGAATTGTGGACACATCATCGGAAGACCATTTGACAGAGGTATGAATGTGTTTACATGTTAAACTTGAACCTGCCTCTCTTCTTGTGCTCCACTGATCTCTTTAAATCTCGTTTTGTTGTGGCATGAAAATATTTTAGACTTTTTCCTTACGGCTTAAATCAGTTCCTTCTTGGGGTTATACTCATTGCTCCTTGTTTTATTGGCTTATCATTCTAATTGATATTCATAATCTTTCATGCAGGAGAACCTCTTCTACTCTGTCCCGCTTGGTGCAATGGATGCTTATAGAATATCTATCGAATCTCATGTGCAACTCTGTGAGGTAAGCATATAGACCATTATAATTTGGCCAGCTTTACTTTTACATCTTCTGCAATATTGAATAGCAACTTGTGCTCCAATCATAACAATTTATTGACCTTTGTGTGAAAACAAGTATCAGCGACTCATAATCAATCATCCAACTTTTTTTATCCAAGGCCTTTTCAGGAAGGGAATCCAACTGAACTGACCTACATTCTTGTTGTGAGGACATTGCTTGGTTACTCAAGTTGGCTCTAATTGGTATTGGATGGAGCCATCCTACTGTTTTAGTCTTTTGCTCGATTATCCCTATATGGAGAAGTTTATCTATTCATGCCCAAGAGGCTAATACCTAAAGTAATGAGTGGACAGAGGGGAAAAGATGTATACTTGCTTTCTTTGATCTTATGATGGGCTGCACTTCTTGAAATTGAACTTGCTGACAAATGATGGTTTGCTAAATAAGGTAGCTTATGTATTGGGGAGAAATTGGTCTTGGAGTAAGGGAACCAAGTTAGATCAGTATTCTTGAGTTGGCTGTGTTTTATGGTCTCACACTTAATATATTTTTCCTTATAAAAAAAAAATAATCTTTGGCTAGTGTTGGTCTTTGAGAATTTAGTCTTGGCATAACACCAGGATGCATGAAAAATATGCAATGTACCTTTGATTGGTAATGGAAAAACATGGGGAAATGTGATCTCTTGCTCTGGCAGTATGTTTCAATGAGAATAACTTTTCCTACTTCACCATGTGTCAAATAATATAAAAAAACTACTCCTAGCTTACTTTTATTGTCTTTAGGTTTGTGGTCAGTAGCTTGGTTGAGATCTTTTTGACGTTTCTTGAAGATCTATTTTATAATTGATAAGCTCAGTTATTATAGAAGGAAAACAAAAATATAATATCAGCTTAATCCAGTCAGCTTTGATTGTTTGGTTTTCTGCACTTAGGCTACGAATTGTGAAAAAGGTAGTTGTGTGGCTGCATTTCTTGCTCCCAATTGACGTTCTGGTGAGCGGCAAAAGCTCTAGCATCTTAGACGTCATTTACTTGAAAATTACATTTACTTTTTGGACATGGGGAATATGTTTTTAGTACTAAAGGCCGAAACTTAATGTTTTTTTTTTGATAACCGTGGTGTCCGGGCCAGCTTGCGCGAATCTCGGCTAATTCTACAGGATACTTGCTACCTCCCACTAGCAATAGGTTCCAGGTAACTCGGTCCATCAAGGCTTGGATAGAAGGGAAGAAATCACCTAGTATTTTTTGTCTCCGCTGGGAATTGAACCTGAGACCTCATGGTTCTCACCCACTTCATTGACTACTAGGCCACACCCTTGGATGCAGATTTTATGACTTTCATTGGAGAGTGGATCCACCTTTATATACTGAAGGGATGTAGTTTTTACTTTTTAGTGTCTTGTGACATATTTTACTCTTCAATAATTTTCATGTTGTTGCTTGACATAAGTATTCTGCATTTTCTGCTCTCCCTGATGGTATAGTTTGTATGTCTGATTTTCGGAACTCTAATCTGATGCATTCCCTACTTGTGTGCTATAACTTAATGAGTTTCTTCCACTGCATGCGTATGCTTTTGTTCTTCTGGTGGTAATATCTGTTTTTAAGACTGCTAATCCTGGACAGCAACATCTTACATGAATGAGTTGGTTTATCAATACCTAGCACTAAAAACACCACCATGCCAGCAGCTACAAGCTGTTAGAGATAAAGTAGAAAGAGTTGCAACTTTACTGTATATGGACAACCTTGTAACCTTGAAGGATTATGCTAGCTTTAGCTGTATGCTTTTATGTTTTCATCTTACTTGTTGATGCTGTGTATACAATCCAACCTTGTTCCTGTAAGGATTATGCTACCTCTTGCTGTATGCTTTTATGTTTTTTCCGTACTTGTTGATTCTGGTATAATATTTGAAATTCCAGAGGACAGGTAGTAGCATGCAAGAGGAGGTGGAGACATCTGCATGTGATGCAGTTGCAGGTATCTTATTTATTTTTATTTTTTGTATTTTTGGTGATTTGTCTCCTGCTCGTTCTGTTTTTTCCAGTTGCTAAATTTTTTGACCAATGAGTTTGTGCATGCATATTTTGGATCTCAAGATTGTGCAGGGGATGAAGGAGAAACAAGTGCATATCATAGGTCAGTTGCCTTAGAAGGTAGCAAATCATCAAGACTTCCCCAGAAGACACGGAAGATCCACCTGAAGGCTTACAGTGGTAGACCATATGATGTTGGTGCTGATTCACTATTTACTCAATGTGTGGAAAATAGAGTTGGCCCTCATCAATCTATGCTTCTGGGGAAACGACCAGCAAGCAATGTTAATGTGTCTATTCCAACCAAGCGTGTGCGTACTGCTTCAAGGCAGAGAGTTCTTAGTCCCTTCAGTGCATCAACAGCTGGATGTGTTCAGTTTCCAACCAAAACAGATGCTTCAAGTGGTGATAGCGGTTCATTTCAGGATGATCACAGTACATTGCATGGTGGATCTCAGATGAATAGCTTGGAAGTTGAATCTGAGGGTGACTATGAAAAGCATTTACTGTTCGACTCTGCTGAAGTATCAAAACCTAAAAAGAAGAAAAAAGCAAAGCATCTGGTACTTGACAAGTTGCTATGTCTCAGAAGATAAATTAAGGAATTTGAATTATATGCCGTTCACCTTTTCTAAGATTGCCAGCTGTTTGCATTCTCATTGTTGCAGGGTTCTGCATATGGGCAGAGATGGCATGTTGATTCTAATTATCAAACCAACCAGGTAATTTCCTTTTTCCATTCAACATTGAGACTCAGTAATCCGCTGAAATGTGATGATATTCAGAGGCGGACCAAGGATTTCGAAGTCGCTAATGCACCACCACTTTTAGTGTAAATCTATCATTTACCATAGAAACCAGATAAGGCCGTGCATTTTGTTGGGTTTGTCAGTTTTGGATTAATTTCTGTTCATGTTATTAGCTTAACCCTTACAGAATAACAATAAGTTCGATTTTCTCTCTCTTTATTCACATATATTGAATAGAAAAAATAACAAGCCAAGCAAGTTCCTCTATCAATTAGATAATTTGATGAAATGAATAACTCAATTTTGGTACGTTTTTTGTTTCAGTTAAATTAATTGACCTTTAAATTGTTGATATATTTATTTATCTCAAATTCTGAAGAATTCAATCTTTGTCTTGCAACTAGAGTTCCTACTACTAGCAATGCTATGATCTTGCATTCCTCCGGTAGGGGCAAGGAAAAGGTAATTACAGAAGACGCATGTCCAATTTCGTCACGGATTGGAGAAGTGGACATGTCCTTATGGATGGAGGATAAACTATTAAACTTTGGGAAGTTCTTAGGTGTTTCTTTTGAAGGGAAGGAAGAAAGGGTGCTGGAACTGTTGAGGGAGATTGAGCAACAACCTTGTTNGGAGACTTTAACACAATTAGATTCCCGGAGGAGAGATTAGGGTGCAATTTGATTTCGAGGGCCATGGAGGAGTTTTCTGACTTCATCAATGATCACTTTCTCATTGATCTTCCTCTGTCAGGGGAAAGGTTTACTTGGGCCAGGGCGGAGGATTCAAACTCAAGGTCCAGACTCGATAGATTTCTGATATCGTCTTCCTGGGATGAGCTGATGCCGAATGTGTTGCAGATCCCTTTACCTAGGCTGACTTCGGATCACTTGCCTATCTTGCTAGATGGATGCAGAGGGAGGGGGGTCCGTGCTCCCTTCCGGTTCGAGAACATGTGGTTGAAAGTGCCAGGATTTTGTGANGATCGTGAGAAGTGTCTGGGGAGGTAGTTGGGTGAAATATGACTGGGTCCCTGCAGCGGGAAGTGCCGGGGGCATTCTACTTATGTGGGATGATAGAAGTTTGGAGGTAAAGGAGATTAGGAAGGGAGCTTTCTCTTTGGCAGCTCTCGTCAAAGATAGAGTGAGTGGGGTGGAGTGGGGAGTTGGGGGAGTGTATGGGCCGGTAGGGGAAGAGTCCAAAGTGTCTTTCTGGGAGGAACTTGCTAATATTATGGGGGAATGGGACATTCTATGGGTTCTAGGGGGAGACTTTAACACAATTAGATTCCCGGAGGAGAGATTAGGGTGCAATTTGATTTCGAGGGCCATGGAGGAGTTTTCTGACTTCATCAATGATCACTTTCTCATTGATCTTCCTCTGTCAGGGGAAAGGTTTACTTGGGCCAGGGCGGAGGATTCAAACTCAAGGTCCAGACTCGATAGATTTCTGATATCGTCCTCTTGGGATGAGCTGGTGCCGAATGTGTTGCAGATCCCTTTACCTAGGCTGACTTCAGATCACTTGCCTATCTTGCTAGATGGATGCAGAGGGAGGGGGGTCCGTGCTCCCTTCCGGTTCGAGAACATGTGGTTGAAAGTGCCAGGATTTTGTGACAAAGTGAAAGAATGGTGGACCAACTACGGGGTATCAGGGTCACCCTCATTCCGTCTGTCGAAGAAACTCAAATTGCTCAAGGGAGATATTATTAGGTGGAACAAGGAGGTCTTCGGGAGGGTGGAGGTCAAAATGAGGGAGCTTATGCATGAATTGGGGGAATTAGAGAGAGGGGAAGGGGTGGGGGAGCTAGATGAATCTGAGAAAGTGAGATTGGGGGAGGTTAAGAGTGAAATAGTCGAGCTAGCAATAGCTCAGGAGACTAGTTGGCGACAAAAATCAAGGGCGCTCTGGTTAAAGGAGGGGGATTCGAATACTAAGTTTTTCCACAGGGTTGCGATTGCAAATCGAAGGAGAAACTTCATAGAGTCCTTAGTTGTAGATGGGGTGAGGATCGAGGGAGAAGAGGAGGTAAAAGGGGCGATAGTGGGGTTTTATGAGAACTTATACAAAGAGGAAGTTAGTTGGAGGTCTACTTTGGGGGGAATAGAGTGCAACCACATAGGGGAGGGACACAATGAGTGGCTAGAAAGAGCTTTCGAGGAGGAGGAGGTGCACGATGCTGTGTCGAGCTGTGATGGTGATAAGGCCCCTGGGCTTGATGGTTTCTCCTTGGCCTTCTTCCAGCTCTGTCGGGACACTGTTAAGGGGGAGTTGATGGAAGCCATCGAATACTTCCACGTGAATGGTGCTTTCGAGAGAAGTATCAATGCTTCTTTTATTACCATTGTGCCTAAGAAAGAAGGCGCATCTTGTATCAGAGACTATAGGCCTATCAGTCTAGTGAGGAGCATTTACAAGATTATTTCTAAAGTGCTCTCCAACATACTAAAGAAGGTTCTTGACGTGTCTGTTTCGTCCTCCCAGAATGCGTTTGTGGAAGGTAGGCAGATCCTGGATGCTGCTATGGTGGCAAATGAACTTGTAGACTCCAGAAGGAAAAATATAGAGAATCCGGATTACTGTGCAAGTTGGACCTTGAGAAANATTCCGTCTGTCGAAGAAACTCAAATTGCTCAAGGGAGATATTATTAGGTGGAACAAGGAGGTCTTCGGGAGGGTGGAGGTCAAAATCAGGGAGCTTATGCATGAATTGGGGGAATTAAACAGAGGGGAAGAGGCGAGGGAGCTAGATGAATCTGAGAAAGTGAGATTGGGGGAGGTTAAGAGTGAAATAGTCGAGCTAGCAATAGCTCAGGAGACTAGTTGGCGACAAAAATCAAGGGCGCTCTGGTTAAAGGAGGGGGATTCGAATACTAAGTTTTTCCACAGGGTTGCGATTGCAAATCGAAGGAGAAACTTCATAGAGTCCTTAGTTGTAGATGGGGTGAGGATCGAGGGAGAAGAGGAGGTAAAAGGGGCGATAGTGGGGTTTTATGAGAACTTATACAAAGAGGAAGTTAGTTGGAGGCCTACTTTGGGGGGAATAGAGTTCAACCACATAGGGGAGGGAGACAATGAGTGGCTAGAAAGAGCTTTCGAGGAGGAGGAGGTGCACGATGCTGTATCGAGTTGTGCTGGTGATAAGGCCCCTGGGCCTGATGGTTTCTCCTTGGCTTTCTTCCAGCTCTGTTGGGACACTGTTAAGGGGGAGTTGATGGAAGCCATCGAATACTTCCACGTGAATGGTGCTTTCGAGAGAAGCATCAATGCTTCTTTTATTACCATTGTGCCTAAGAAAGAAGGCGCATCTTGTATCAGAGACTATAGGCCTATCAGTCTAGTGGGGAGCATTTACAAGATTATTTCTAAAGTGCTTTCCAACAGACTAAAGAAGGTTCTTGACGTGTCCGTTTCGTCCTCCCAGAATGCGTTTGTGGAAGGTAGGCAGATCCTGGATGCTGCTCTTGTGGCAAATGAACTTGTAGACTCCAGAAGGAAAAATAGAGAATCCGGATTACTGTGCAAGTTGGACCTTGAGAAGGCTTTCGATCATGTCAATTGGGAGTTCCTGGACTTCATTATGAAACGGATGGGGTTTGGGGAAAGATGGAGGGGATGGATCAAGTTTTGCATTTCAACAGTCAGATTCTCTGTCCTGGTTAATGGTAGCCCGTGTGGTTTCTTTGGCAGCTCCAGGGGGCTCAGTCAAGGTGACCCCCATCCCCCATACTATTCATTTTAGTGATGGATGCTCTGAGTAAAATGATGGATCGTGCAGCGAGTGGAGGCTTCTTGAGAGGTTTCTTGCTTTTTGCGGATGACACCCTAGTTTTCTGTGATGCCGATATGGATCAGTTGACCTGCCTGAAGCAGGTACTGCAGTGGTTTCAGATAGTATCAGGACTCAAAATCAACCTCGGCAAGTGTGAGATTTTCCCGGTGGGTGAGGTTGCTAACATTGATGCTTTGTCTCATGTTCTCGGATGCAAGATGGGCTCTCTCCCCACTACCTACCTGGGTCTACCATTGGGTGCTTTGCAAAAGGATACTACTGTTTGGAATCCAGTCATTGAAAGGGTTGAAAAACGATTAGCAGGCTGGCAGAAACGGTATTTGTCAAAAGGCGGTAAGGAAGTGCTTATTAAAAGCACTTTGTCAAGTATCCCTACCTATTACTTATCCCTGTTGCAAGCACCTGTGAGCATCACAGAAAAACTGGAGCGACTTCAAAGGAATTTTCTCTGGGATGCGGCAGATGGAACTAGAAAGTTTCATCTAGTGAATTGGCAGACAGTCACTTCCCCAAAGAAGTGGGGTGGACTTGGAGTAAAAGATCTCAGGGTATTCAACAGAGCTTTGCTGGGGAAGTGGCTGTGGAGATTCGGGGTAGAAGAGCATGCTCTATGGAGGGAGGTCATAGCAGAAAAGTATGATTCCACGGGAGGGGGTTGGAGGACCAAGGCAATCACAACACCGTTCGGGTGTGGCATGTGGAGGAACATCATGAAGAACTGGGAAGCTTTCTATGGCAGCATCACTTACAAGGTGGGAGATGGAAGGAGAATCAGCTTTTGGAATCACAAGTGGTGTGGAGAGGCTACTCTGAGGGTCTCTTTCCCACACGTCTACAGAGCTTCAAACCAGAAGGAATTGATGGTCCAACAAATACGCAAGGAGCATGAAGGGGGGATAGTATGGGACCTCTCTTTTAGAAGGAACATGCAAGATTGGGAGATTGCGGAGCTCCAAAATTTATTGGCACTGCTATACGGGCAAGATATGCCCCATCCATCTTATGACTCTTGGAGATGGGGGTTGCGTGATGATGGCTTGTTCACCGTAAAGTCCTTCTACCAGAGTATGTTGGTGAGACAGGAGGCTACTTTCCCATACTCATCGATCTGGATTCCTAAGGCGCCCACGAAGGTGTGCTTCTTCGCGTGGCTAGCAGCGAGGGGAGTGATCTTGACATCTGAAAATCTGCGAAAGAGAGGAATTACACATGTTAGTTGGTGCTACATGTGTAAAAGCTCAGGGGAAGAAGTTGATCATCTTATGCTGCATTGCCCTGTGTCCTGGGGTCTATGGAGGGCAATCCTGAATCTCTTTGGTGTTCAATGGGTGATGCCAAACACTGTAAAGGAAATGCTATATAGCTGGGCCGGTTTCCGTAGAAGAAGCAAGCAAAAGGCGTGGAAGTTCGCCCCGTTAGCTCTCATGTGGTTAGTCTGGGGAGAGAGAAATAGGAGAGTTTTTGAGGGGATTGAGTCTCCGTTTTCACATCTTAAGAATAGTCTTTTATCTTTGATCGCTTTCTGGTGCACACATGTAGCACCTACTTGTGTAGAAGATTGGGCGTCATTTGTAGAGAATCATGTTCTGATGTAAATTCTCTACTTTTTGTATACTTCTTGTATGCGGGAGCTTTTTTTCTCCCTTTTGATTAATACAATTTACCTTATCAAAAATAATAGACTGAAAACAAGAACGGAGGAAAAGAAAAGAAAGGAAAAAAAGAGGTTTTTCTTGTTGAAAAGACAAAACTCTACAAAAGGACTTTAAAAAAAAAGAAGAAAGCAAAGAAAAGATAAAAGTAGAGGGGTCCTACTGGTTGAGAAAAAACTAGAAAGAAGAAAAGTAAAAAGGAGAAGATGAGTCCTGGTTGAAATAAACTTGAACTCCGGTTCTTAGTAAATCCGAACTCAAGCTTCGATGTGTAAAAAAATCTCAACAGGGCCTCCAACACACCACACCCCTTCGCTACTCATGACCCGGGGGG